TGGCAGCGGCGGCAGCTGCGGCGGCGGCGGCAGTTCTGGAAACTCGGCCCTCGGAGCCCCGCCCCTTCCGCTTCCGCCCCTGCCGCGCACGCCCCCGCCTGCACTTGTCGTCACATCCCTAGTAACCGAGATGGCGGCACTGGCAACCGAGCCCTCCTTAAAGGGACCTGTGCACGTGTTTTAGCGTCACTGGGTTCCCGCTGACGCCCGCCTCGCCCGGCCCGGGGGCTCCACTCGGCAATTCCCCGGGGCACGTTCAGGTCCCCGACTCATTTCCTGCCACTTCGCTGTGGGCATTTGCGGCAGCTGCTGGAAGGTGGGACAGTTGACGGGACTGAGGGACAGGATTGTCCCCTTAGCCACGCCGCAGTGACGTCACCGCGAAGTCTTGGCAGGGGGCGGGGCCTCAGTGAAACGTGTCCCCTTCCCCTTGGGAAGGGGGATCTGACTGCGCTGGGAAGAGTGCCTGGTCAGGGTTTTTTCCCATTCCCAAGGGGACGTGGCCCTGCCCTCAGAGGGTCTAAGTAGGGCTTGGTCTTGGGGGTTCGCGGGTAGGGCTTGTCGCCCCACCTTGGGAACTGGTGTTTCCTCGGCTCGGACCACAGCCTCCAGCCCGCCCCTGTCTCCTCCGACTTGTGAGCGAGAACTTGCGCACAGACACCCCACCTTTAGGCACACTCGGACCCCCCAGCCTGTGTCTGGCGCTCAGCCGCGACGTCTCCTCGCATGGCCACTGGGTGTCACCAACGTCTAAGCAGCGGCCAGTCCTCCTGGCCGGGTGCCCAGAAGAGGGGAAGCTGATCGTGGGGAGGTGGAAGGGGGCTTTCCTGGTCATTCGAGACTGGGGCAGCTCAAGACTCCCCCCGGTTCGTTTGGGGCCCCCTTCCTCGGCGGGGACTCTAAGGACTTCCTTACTCAGAGCTCTGGGGACTCCAGCTGCACACGCTAGCGTTCATTCTAACCCGCGCTTTGATACAAGGATAAAAGGCCGAGTTGCAGCCTGGGGCCGGGATTATCTCAGATTAACCGGTGCTCCGCAAGGGGCAGGTGGGAAGCGAGGCGCTCCAGCCACCCGAGTGCAGGGCGCCGCTTCCTGGTCTTCCCCGGAGATTGCATGGGTGGGGGCCCCGAGGGAGTAAAGACGACCAGGTTTGGTGGGAGGGGGGATTCCCTGGCCCTGGGAGTGGGAGGGGCCACCGGACAAAAGCGCCTCCCGCTGCCGCCCCTCCCCCGCGCCCCATTCAAACCCGCGAGTGGGCGGGCTGGCAGGGGCGGGGGAGTCCCCCTCCACTCCTCCACCTCCACTCCTCCCCCTCCACTCCTCCTCCTCCTCCTCCTCCTCCCTCTCCGGTCCGGCAGTCCAGCTTATCAACTGCCGTCAGGGCCTTGGCGCGCGCGCGTTCACAGACCCACACCCTGGCGGGTCTCACAATCGCGCACACACACACGCACACACACACACTCTTACACACCAGCAAACAAAGGGTCTGGACACCCCTGTCCCCCCGCCCCCAGGCCGGTGAGGGCGGGGCATTCCCTCCCCAGCCCCCCTGCAAGGTAAGCTGTGGGCTGCTAGCTACCGGGGGAGGGCGAGCCCAGTACCGGGGAGGAAGGGGGCCAGGACGGTGGGGGATTCCCCTGCTTCCCTGGAAAACAGCCCCCAGCACCCCCTAAGCACTAGGACAGCTTCGGCCCCGCTGCCAGGCTTGGGGAGTCTGGGAAGGACCTCTGGATGCTGGGGACTCCCGGGTAGGCGCAGGGGTCTCTCCTGAGCATTTGGAAACTGGAGCTACCCAACTCCAGGGAAAAAGGGGTCCCAGGAGCTCCAGCTTCCAGAAGTCGGCACCGGCTGTCGGGAGCTCCCCCATCAACGCCAAGCATTTTCTCATCTGCCAGCCTCGCATCTCTAGGGCATGGAGAGAGACAGAGAGAAAGAGACCCCTGAGTTGCTTCGCACCATTCTGTCTCCTATCTCGCTTCCCCCCCACTCCGCCCCCATCAGTTCATCTCCTGCTGTCTCTCGTGTTCCCGTGGGTGGGGGAGGGAGGACTGGGGATGCTTTTTTTGGGCTACCCTTGCTCCGGGTGCTGCATCTCACAGCTACACGCCACTTGGCTGCGGTGGGAGCCAGCGAGCTGCTTTGCCCCCCTGAACCTCAATGTCCTCATCTGCGTAGTGGGCGACGACACTTTAGGATTGGCAAGGTCACGCAGGCTGACCCAGCCTTTGCGCCATCCTTTATGGGGGTCTTCCAAAAGCTCGTGGAAAATGTGTATTATGGGGAAGAAAAAAAAAAAACAACTATGCGTGGATTTCAAACGGTTTTGCTCCAAAATAAACTCATACTTTAGTATTTTTTAAATCTGCTCTAGGGAAGGAGGCAGAAAGAAACGGTATTCTCCCCTCCCCCGGGGTAGGGGGTGGTCATGATACAATCTCTTCTCCAGCTTTTCCTCCTTTGGGGATTTTGGGCATACATGGGTACGTGCACATCCAGTTTGTCTTTCTTTTCAAAAAAAAAAAATATTATCATTATTTAATTTGACCAGAGAGAAAATCAGAAAGCAGGCCACCAGGTCCAGGACTTAAACCACAGACAACCATGTGGGAATCCAGGGCCTTAACCACCATCCACTTGCCGGCCCCTCCAGTGTATCTGTTTTTCTTTTTAATTATTATTTTATTCAACTTTATTTATTTATTTTTATTTGACCAGAGAGGGACAGAGTGAGAGAGAAAGAGAGGGAAAGCGAGAAAGCAAGCTGCCAGGTCTGGGACTCGAACCTCAGTTGGCCATGTGGGAGTCCAGAGCCCCCAACCACCTGCCGGCCCCCCTCCAGTGTATCTTTCAAAATAGCTGGATCTGAGACTCAAACCGCACAGCCACGCGGGATCCAGCCACCTTCACCACCACCACGCCACCAGCTGGCCCTAAATTCACGCACAAATTCCATTTTTCCAGGGTCTTTTGAAGTTCCCGTATATTTCTTGGCTTATTCCCCATCTGTGTTCCAAGTGCCTACTAAGTGCCAGGTACTATGATCAGGCAGTGGGGCTGTAACTGTTAGGGGAGCAGGAACCCTGGTGCAGGCTGGGGAGGGACCGAGATGACAACAGAACCAGAACTACCCTCGGACATTGCGGACAGGAACTCTCTGAAGCAGATGAGTTGGGGAGCACTGAAGACTGAGTGAGAGTTCTAGTACAAGTCTGTCTTCCTCCTTCTCTTTGAAGTCTCTGAGAACAACACCTAATACACAATAGATGCTCAATAAGGGTTGAATGAATGAAAGATGGAATTCCATTCAGGCTAGGAGGACCAGCACATGGTCCTCTGTCTACGTTGGGAGACTCCTGTGTAGTTGTCTGTGGCTCAAGTTCCATTGGCAGTTTAAAATTCACACTGGGGACCAGCAGGTGGCGTGGTGGTTAAGGGGCTGGACACTCCCACATAGATGACAAAGGTTCAAGTCCTGGACCTGGTGGCTTGCTTTCTCGCTTTCTCTATCTTTTTCTGATCAAATTTAAAAGAAAGGAATGAATAAATAAAGTTAAATAAACAATTCTTTTTAAATTTTTTAAAAAATAATTATTTATTAATATTTCTTTATTCATTGATTTATTTTTAACTTGACAGAGAGAGACACAGAAAGAGGGGAAGTGAGAAAACAAGCCACCAGGTCCAGGACTCGAATCATAGTCAGCCATATGGGAATGTCCAGAGCCTTAACCACCATGTCACCTGCTGGTCCCCAAAGTTAAATAAACAATTTTAAAAACAAAAACAAAAAACAACAGCGACAACAACAAACTCACCCTGGGTGCTGGTGCGTGCCTGCCCAAGATCCCCAGAGGAGAATGGAGGAGAAGGGATTGTGCCGTTATCCTCTCTGGGGGGGTGATTTCTCACTTTCTGTCTCTCTGGCAAGCACACGTGCTCTATAGCAAAAATCTCTCTCTCAGAAAAAAATTAGATTTGAACTAGTTTCATAGAAAGAACTCCTTTTTTTTTTTTTTTTTTTTTTTTTCTTATGCTG